AAAAAAATAAAATTAAAAATGACATCGAACTGAAATAACTAAAATTTTAAAGCTAAACACATATAATTTATCAGACATAAAATTTCGAACACAAAAAACGAATTCGGTTAGGTTCAGTCGCTATAGTGCAATACGTCATATACTAAGGTGCAATACATATAACATTAAAGTGCAATCTGACAATCATTAATGTGCAAACAGTGTAACGCTAATGTGCATTCGAAGTGCAATTATTTTCTTTTTTATACAAAAATATATTAAGTATTTGTAATATTTTAGTTAATATTTTATATTTTTGTTTGATGAAAATATACTTTTTTTGTATAGTTCGGTTCGTTCAATTTTTCTTTTTTTAGTAACTAAATCGAAACTCAGACTGAAATAGCCTAAATTTTAATATTTTGTGAAAAATTCACATTGTTATGATAATGTGCATTTTCGAACACATTCCTGTGCATATGTTTTATCAGTATTGTGCAGTATGACAGTGACTAACGTCCATCATTTGTTTATACTCTTGTGCATCTTGTCGTGCGAGATTTATTTATTTATTTATTTATTTGTGCAAATCCAATCTAAAATTGAACCGGAATAATTTGATGATTCGATTAGTTAAATTTAACCTAAATATTTAAATAATTTATTGTTTATATTATAAAAATATATTAAATATTTTGATATATTTATTTAGTGTTTTATATTTTTTTGTTGAGAAAACTATAACATATTTCTTACAAATTAATGTTTTATATTATTATTTTAATGTTTTGTCGTTAATATGTATTTATTAAAATGTTGTTATACATTATATATTTTCGCATGAACTAAATTAAAAAAAAAAAAAACAATAGACATTAATCAAATTGCAAATAGGCCCTTCAACAATATCTAATTTTCTAAGAAAGAAAAAAATCAATTACACCCTTGTTCCTGATACAAAAAAATAAATAAATAAAAATAAAAAATCCTAATTTCTAAATCACACTGCAGTGTTCTGTATATAATCCAGACCCCTCCATCAAGGTCCTCACTTCCAGCAGCGTGGCGACACACGGCGGACGTGCGGTTGCAGACGTGGTGCCGGCGGGAGTCGGGCGACAACGAGACGAACGACGGCGTATCACCACTTCCGGCGGCAGGGCGGCAAACGGCGGAAGTGCGGTTGCAGACGATGGTCCGCCGGTGTACCGCAGCTCACCACTTCCGGCGGGATTCTGGGCGACGACGCCGTCGGGAAAGTCCGTCTGTCAGACAAGGTGCCGGCGACGGGCGCTGGTGTTCGCGGACATCGGCCGGCGGTGAGCGGCGAACGGTGTCGTGGCTGTGACGGCGCTCTGTGGAGTAGCCGGTGGTTGTCGAGCAATGACCGGCCATGTGTGTGTGTTTATGTGTTTGTGTGTGTCTGTGAGAGAGAGAGAGAGAGATGGCTTGGGGAGATGGGACGAATAAATTTGGGAGGAGAGAGAAAGAGAGTTGGCCTGGGATGATAAGAATTAATTGGGGAGTGGGGTCCACTAATGTGGTGGATGATTGTTAATTAATGTCTGTAATACCCTTATTTAATGTAGTAATGTTGATTTTTCTTTAAATCATACGATCTTATGGTTAGAATGTATTCTTATTTCTTTCACTGAGAACTATTCTCACCGGAACGTGACTCTATATATATATATCCATATATTAATATTACATGAGCATAAATACATAGTTCAAACAATAGTTATTATATTTTAAACAAAACTATAATATTTCTAGATATTTTATTATAAATCATATTAGTAAGATTTGAATGAATACTAATTACACAATCTTCAAACTTTAATATTTCATTAATATTTTATATATTTTATAATTTATAGTTAATTTATGATAAATTAAGTTATAATATATGATAGTATTTTAAATTATGTTTATTAGCTATGCCATAGAAATTATATAATATTATATTTCTTGCAAAAATTAGCTATAACATAGAAATTAAATAAGATTATATTCCTTTCAAAACAAATTGCACTTTTTTGTAAAAGGTAGAATTTTCAAATAAGATATACAAATTTAATGAAAAATTATTATAGGTAATTTGTAGAGAATATTCTCTTTAGTACATATAAATGTAGTATTCCCCGAATCTACGAGGGGTGTATTCAATTAGGATTTCTAAGGACTTTTTAAGACTTTAGAAATCCTGGTGTATTCAATTTAGATTTGTTAAGACTTTTAAAAATCTTGGGGTATTCAATTGGGATTTTAAAAAGTCTTACAAAATTCTGAGGTATTTAATTTATTTGACACTAGGATTTGTTATGACTTTTTAAGATTTCGTGGATTTCTAAACAAAAAACATTATACGAAATCCTAGTTGAAATCTCACCTCTACGTGTTGATTTTTGGTGATTCGTAATCATATATGTTGATTTTGGTACCTCCTAATCCTATATGTCAAATTATGTTCTTCAAAGCATATAAATTTGAACTTTTATCCATACCTATTAAAAGTTTTAATATTATAAAATACTTTATCAACTTAAATTATAAATATACTTTAATATTTAATAATTTTTTATTTGTTATAGATTTTGATATATAATATATAAAATTAACCACCTTTTGACGTTCTTAGATTTAATATCTATATTGCATATATAAAAGAAATTTATTTATTCTTGTAAGGAACGATTTAATTATCTATTATATCCTAATTGAAAATAACAAAAAAGTTTAATTAGTAATTAAATTTACCTATTAAGTGTATCATATCATATGAGTTAAAAAACTATTATATAATAGGACGAGTAAAACTTAGAGGTAATAAGTGTCATATTTAAGAAATAAAAAGTAATTTTTGTTAAAAAAAAAGTATTTAAATTTTTAAATAAAAGCTTGTATTTTATTTTTTTTTACTTTTTAAGTATGAAATTTTAATTAACACCTATGTAACATACGTAGCAGTAGCACAGGTATAATACTCTCCTATATATTAATGCAAAATGTCCCTATCCTACATGTCGAATCTTGGTGCTTTGAGATGGTTTGAACCTTATGCGACATTTTTTTGTGATTCGGGTGTTCATGTAGATTAAGAGTTATATCCACGTAAGTTCGAGACATTAAAAATTATAAAACACTTCACTAATCTAAATTATAAATATATTTTAAATCTTAATAACTTTTGTATTTGTTATTAGATTTTTATATATAATATATCAAATTAAAATTATATATCAATTACAATTTTATCTATTGAGAAAAATAACAACAAGAGCTTTTATTTTGTCACCACCCTCCTCTCTGATGCTTCTGTTTTAAAATGTGCCTTCAGTTGGTTTGATATGTGATACATTCATAAACAATGCGCGGCTACCCTACCGGTCAACAAAACAATACAAATTTGAAAAATATTAATCATTAATTACAAGGCCACCAACATAATAACCAATATTAAATCGGAAACGTATAATAAAACATAGAATGTAATACTATTATTTTTTACATGCATACAATACTAATGGTCAACATATAATACTATCAACAAAACACAAGTGTATTTGTTTAGCTTATGATTCGTAAATATTATAGATACTAACCTAACATTTTACACTTTGTCCATATACAGTCATAAGATATGTTTGCAAATGTGTATATTTGCAATTAAATTTGCAAATGTGTATATTTGCAATTATTTAGCAACATCCATGGCACAAATAAATTATTTTTGCAAATAAATTATTTTTTTTATATCAATGAATTATTTAGTTGGTCCACCTATATAAATAACTTCTTATCAAATTGATGCATTGGAGATACTAGTTTCATTGAAATTTCTAGTCTTTTAACATTATTCCAATGTGGATTAACATTACAATCACTAATTGACATGTGTTAAAAATAATGGTCTTTCACACTTATAGCATTGGAGATGCTCTAAGTAAATGTTTTCATGTTCATGTTATGCTATACTTACCTTAGCAACAACGTCTTATTGAAAAATACCATTTTTAATTCAATGTTTTATTATCTAGTATCTATATACATATAATAAAAATTAACATTTATCAAAATTAGTAGGTCAATTTATGGTTAAATTCTGGTTTGCATTAATTATTTTCCAAAAACGGCAAGTTTTATGTCATTTTCACACGTCTCATTAATTACACCGAATTAATTACCATAAAATCATTCCATATGAGTTTTTTATTATACGTCATTGCATTAATTTCGGCCTAATAAATAGCGAGCATTAACAGCAACAGATAATATGTAATAAATCCTTTTTTCACGCCATTGCATTAATTTTTTCACAATTTGGACTCAACTTTTCCCTTTTTTTGTGGAGGGATTTATTTCATTGTATATGATTGATGCAAATCCTTTTTTATGGAATCCAAATCCGTACAATTCACTAATATCCGTACAATACACGTAGTATCTGTTGTAAATTTGCCGAAAATAATTTAATATATACTGGTATAAATCTATTGAAAATAATTTAATATATACTGGTATAAATCTGCCAAAAACTAATTAAAAATTAATCTAATATATAATGTATCTCTCTTCCATATAAGAAAAAAGTGTAAGGGATTGTATGCCTGGCACGTGTCAATTTTTTTGGATGTAAATGCTCCTCACTTTTAACTCTTTCTATAGGTGATGCCATACCTCCTCTTCAAAGACGATGTGTCCCGGGATTCTCTGATTTGATCGCTGCTTTTCGAAGATTTTGTCGGCCATTGCATTGATAGACTTATTGCACTGTATGGTGTGCGTTTTGTCATTTGTCAAAAAGCAATCCGAATTTTATCTTTTGAAGACCCAATGTAGAAAAAGCTTGATTAAGGGAAAAAATTCTCTTGCTGGGAGCCCTAATTCTCCTGCTGGGAATCACTATTATCTCAATTGAGATCTTCTATTGCTAATTCTTCCTTTTCTTCTTCCGATAACCTTACTGATTAGCAGTGATTTAAGCTTGGCCACCATGGCCTCAACCAGCAAAATAGGGCAAAATGCCGCAGAAGCTCTCGAGAGGCAACTGGAAAAATTCTCATTGTCTGAAGCTGAAAATGCGATTGTTAACATCGGCAACGAAGATATACACTTTAGCAAGGATGAATGCCAAAGGAGTTTGTTCGGAAAAATTATTGGAGACCGCAAAGCCAGCCTTTTTGGGGTTAAAAGAACCATGGGCCACATTTGGCGTATTCAAGGATCGGTTGAAGTCAGAGAACTTGGGTTCAACTACTTTCAATTTCTCTTTGAATTTGAGGAGGATTTGAAGAAGGTAGCCTCTGGTACTAACTGGATCTTTGATAATCAATATTATTTTGCAAGAATGGAAACATAATATAAACATTGCTCATCCCAACTTTGACATTCTACACCTGTGGGTTCACGTATTCAATATCCCACTTCACTGGCAATCAACCGAAGTTGGGCTTAAGATTGGGTCCTTATTTAAAGGGGCGAAAAACGTCACCATCTCGAAGACTGGGGATGTTGGAGGGGGCAGAGTAGTTCGGATACTGGCTGCGATTAATGTGAAGGAACCACTCCTTAGATGTGTGATATAGCCACATAAGTATAACCCGGTCCAGAAGATCCTTACTCAACCAACGAACCGCTCGAATTACCCCCATGACGACATGAGTCCGTCGACATGCCCCAATCGACTTCCCTAAGGACGATTCTATTAAGAGCAATCAAGAAGAAGCAGAGATGGATCTAGTCGACCCCATCAAGTCGACCTTAACCTATCGACTTTCACTAATCGACATCACTAAGAAGAGGAACAGCAAGAGTACAGCTCTCGGGCTCCCAGGGGTCGACTGAACTAAGACGACTCTCTGAGGATAACTTCGCCTCACAGAACCAGTCGAGCGTAGCTTCCGAACCCGCACGTATCCACGAGTCGACTTCCATGATCTCAAAGTCGACTTCGAATACCTCGAGTAACAAAGATAGGATGACGACTCATCATACTTGCAATATACTCTCAATCCTACATATCATGACAGGTAAGAAGGAATCTTGCGGTGACTCAGCACTAAGGGGAGACGAATCGACCAGGGCATTTTGGACCTTCTAGGTCCACCGATTGGGGTACTTTGGGCACTTCGCGTAAGTATTCACTCCTATATAAAGGAGATGAGGTAACCCTAAACCCCAACTCTCATTCATTCCACTCTCCCCTATAGCTGCTGCGCAGCCTCTCTTCATCACTGACTTGAGCGTCGGAGGCTCTACGCCGGAAACACCTCCGGCGTTGAGTTTTTGCAGGCATTCTTGCGATCTAGCGACGGTTTAAAGGCGGTTCAAGCAGATCTGAGCTCATAACCACCGGTTTACTCCAGATCCAGAAGTAGACCCATCAATGTGCCAATGTGAGGCTGGGAGAGCAAGTTATCAAGGTCAGCTTCAAATATGAGAAGTTAGTTAACCTTTGCTACTATTGTGGAACCTTGAGCCACTTAGACAGGGACTGCAAGAAGAAAGTTGAAGATATTGCTAATAGCTCTGTGCTAGATTGGTCAGTATGGTGAATGGTTGAAAGCTAACGAAGGCCAACTTAGTATCTTTTCTAACCTAAACAGCTCTTCGGGCTCTCTAGGATCCAAGAACAATAGTCAGCAATTAAAATCCAACTCATCAGCTACAGAAGCAGGTCTTGAGCAGCATCACCATTACAAAATAGACCCAAACAGTCCTATTAATCAATCCAACTTAATTGAAGTCTCAGTGATATCTCATTCAGAACTGCTTCACAATTCTCTCACTCAAGAAGCAAACCCAGCCAAATTCCTCAGCTCCAAATCATCCCCCATTATTATCCAAGAGCTAGTGGAGAGCTCTACAGGTCTGAATGCTGATATAAGTAAAGAGAAAAGAGTTGCCAATATAGAAGCTCCTATACCCATTGAAGTGGAAGTACCTGTCACCCTGACAGTGGATGAGGTTGAGGGCCAAACTAGAACTCCCAGTACAGTCTCCACAAAAAAGAAGTGGAAAAGAGCTTCTACCAAGAGAAGAACCCAGAATCCCAAAATGGAGGTCCCAAACATATCCTCTACCCAAGATCAGAAAAGAGAGAGATCTGAAGCAACAGACCACCCTTCCCTTCTGCATATCAATGAACCTGATTCCTCCTCCCACAGAGGTAAGAAGTTGAAATCTGACTCTGAAAAGGTGTTGTTGGCCCACCTTAAAGGGCCAACAGGTGAACAATGAGAGTGCTGGTGTGGAATTGTAGAGGTTTCAGTGGACCCTCTACAATTCCCCAGCTCAAGGAGTCCATAAGGACCCACTGCCCAGCATTTACTTTTCTGTCAGAAACCAAGAAGAATTTTGATTTTGTAAATACTGTTTGTATTAATTTGAATATGGAGGATAGATGGAAAACTGTTAATCCAGTAGGCACAGCAGGTGGCTTACTATTGATGTGGAGTAAAGATATTATCATTCACCAACTTTTTTGTCATGATTTTTGTTTGGAGGTTGAATTCTCTTCTGCTCAATCTCCAAAGCCCTCTTGGCTTATTTTTGTTTACATGAGTACCATCAGAAGCACCAGACTTTCTCAGTGGGACCAGTTAAAGGCTATGCAACCCAATTGGGCTCTTCATGGATGTGTGCTGGGGATTGGAATGACTTGTGCTGCAGGGAAGACAAGAAAGGGGGAATTCCTAGAACTCTTCATAGCCTGGTGGGGTTCAATGATTTTATATCTGATATGGGAATGACTGAATTGCATTGGCAGGGGTATGCCTACACCTGGGCTAATAACAGAGAAAATGAAGGCTATGTTGAAGAAAAGCTGGATAGTGCATTCAGTTCTTATGATTGGATTGCTCAAAACCCCAATGCCTCTGTGGAGAACATTTTTAGATCAGCATCTGACCACAACATGCTTTGTATTAACTTTGATACTCTCTCCCATACAAAAAAAGAAAAGGTTCAGTTTTGATAAGAGATGGCTGTCTAGAGAAGGTGTGAATGAGGTAGTTATCAATGCTTGGTCTCAAGTTTTTGAAGGTACTCCTATGTTCAGAGTGAAGGAGAAACTTAAAGCCACTAGAATTGCTCTGTTGCAATGGAGCAAGCACCATAACTCTGAAAACCAGAAGAAAATTTGCTCTCTAACTGCAACCATGGAAGAACTGAGATAAGCTAATGGAGAGAGGGACTGGGACTCTTGGCATGATCTTAATACTCAACTTAATGCAGCCTACCAGTCTGAGGAAACTTATTGGAGACAAAAATCTCGGCTATTATGGCTAAAGGAAGGAGACAAGAACTCAAAGTTCTTCCATGCCTTCAAAACCCAGAGAAGAAAGCTTAATGCAATAACAAGACTAACAGATGAGCATGGACATGTAATTGAAGATCACCACAGTATCTAGGACTGTGTTTGCAGATTTTATGACAAGCTTTATACATCTGAGGGCCCGACAGAAAATTCTGATATCCTTCTTAATATTCCTCAGTCCATTTCTGAGGAGCAAAATCAAGTTCTGATTGCAGATGTGGATGAGCAGGAGATCAAAGAAGCACTATTTAGCCTTCACCCTGAAAAAGCTCCAGGGGAGGATGGCATAACAGGGCTGTTCTTCCACCATTTCTGGCCTTTGCTTAAAGATGATATTTGGGCAGCTGTTAAAAGCTATTTTCAGTCTGGTAGAATGCTCAAGTATTGGAACCACACAATCATCTCTCTTATTCCCAAGTGCCTCTACCCTGACTCTCTGCACCAATTCAGGCCAATCAGCTTGTGTGGCACCCTCTACAAAACAATATCAAAGATTTTGTCTACGAGACTCAAACCTTGTCTTCCAATTTGCATTGGAGATTCCCAAGCTGCCTTCATCTCTGAAAGATCCATCATGGATAATGTTGTTATTGCTCAGGAGGTATTTCACTACCTAAACAGACACAGGTCAGGTAACAACTACTTTATGGCAATTAAGCTTGATCTCCTCAAAGCTTTTGACAGGCTAGAATGGAATAGTGTTAAACTTGTCTTACTTAGATTCGGCTTTCATGAGCAATTTGTGAAATGGGTCATGGGATGTATTACTTCAACTGCCTTCTCCTTCAGTTTAAATGGACAGGTTGGAGGTTATGTTACTCCTTCTCGAGGTATAAGGCAGGGGGATCCCATCTCCCCCTACCTTTTCATTTTGGTGGCTGAAGTCTTTTCCTCTTTGATTGCTAAAGAAGCTGGTTTGGGTGGTATCATAGGGATTAGAATTTCTAGAAATGGGCCTACTCTCTCCCATTTGCTTTTTGCAGATGATACACTGGTCTTCTGCCAAGCAAATTGCAACCAGGCTTATCAACTTATGGCTATCTTGGACAATATCAGGCTTTCTCAGGTCAGCAAGTCAACTGGGCAAGTCTTCCATATATTTCAGCAAGAACTCACCCATTCAGATCAAAAGAAGAATCTGCTACATTCTCAGTTCCACCCCAGAGCATAGTTCCACTAAATACTTGGGATTGCCACTGGGAATTGGAAGCTCCAAAATTCAGGCTTTCTCTTTTGTTCTTGATGCTGTAAGAAGCAGAATAAATAGTTGGAAGAACAGACTCCTTACACCAGCTGGCAAAGAGGTGATGATAAAGGCCATACTGAATGCTCTACCTATTTATGTCATGGGTTGTTTCAAACTGCCTGTCTACATTTGCAAAGAAGTGTCCAAATTATGTGCATCCTTCTGGTGGAGCAAGGGCATCAACCAATCAAATGGGATCCACTGGATAAGCTGGAATAAAATGACACTTCCTAAAATCAATGGTGGACTTGGATTTCAGGATATAAGACTATTCAAACAACTGTGGAGATTAGTTACAAAGCCTAACCTCTTGGTTTGCAAAATGCTTAAAGCAAGATACTACCCTAACTCTGAGCTTTGTGATGCTAAGAAGATTGTTGGTGGTTCTTGGATTTGGAATACCTGGATGGAGGTAAAGCCTAAATTTGACAAACTTGTTCAGGTCAAACTCCTCAGTGGCAGATCAACACCTATACTGGGCTATCCTTGGATTCACTCACTTGGCTTGCAGAGAATTCAATTCAGTACAGGGGCTCTTGCTGAGAGTCAAAACCCTTGCACAATGGTTTCAGAACTACTACACTCTGATGGTATTAGCTGGAACTCTGAGCTCATACACCAGTTATTTGATAATTCAGTGGCAGAGGCAATCTTGAAGATAAATAACCTACAACCTCAATGTGAGGATGAATGGATCTGGCATGGCTCTAAGAAAGGTTTGTTTTCTGCTGCCTCTGCTAATTCTTGCTTAACCACAGACAAAGTGGCCCTCCTTGACATTCCTGAAGGTAGCTCCTCAAGAGCTAAAGATATGAGAATCAGAAATAGAACTTGGCAGCTCAAGATCCAAGGAAAAATTAAACATTTCCTTTGGAAATGCATTACAGGCTCTCTGCCGGTTAGTTCTAATCTAATTAAGAAAGGACTTCCTTTAGATCCTATATGTCAAGTTTGTGGTGTTGCTGTGGAAACAGTTGAACATGTTCTGTGGCATTGTGATAGGGCTCAAAAAGTTTGGCAACTTGTTCCTTTAAACTGGGATTGTTTTTCTTGGCCTGCAGCTTCATTTAAAGACTGGTGGGGATCCATTTGTTCAGTGCATACCAAAGTGATTGATGAAAACCAAATTCAACTTTCTACCTATCTGCTGTGGTGGTTGTGGAACTTCCGCAACCTTTGGGTTTTTTAAAAGAAAAGCCTCCTGAGCTTGGCCTTGTCAGACAAGCAATAAGGGATTGGCAAGAATTTCTTTCTATCTTGCTGAGTGAATTTGGGAGTGATAAACTAGGTCTTGGACAGTTCTTTATCATCCCTAAATTGTAGGCGGTTGGATTATTTAGCATAGGACTTCAGCTTGTTGCTGCCTTTGCTTTGTTCTTGATTTAGACCTCGCCTGTGAGGTCTCTCATCTCATGCGGTTTATTCGAACATTGTTATGTATTCAGACATTGTACCTTTGGTTTTTATCTTATGAGCATGCTGTCGATTTGATAAAAAAATAAAGAAAAAAAAAACCTGAAATATAAATCGAAAACAGAAAACAAATGGATTAAAAACTCCATGTCTCCATGCCAAATTAGTTTTTAACAACTCATANATCCGAAAAAAAGGGCTTTGGCACGTCTCAATTTTTCCCCCATTTCTTCTTCTCTCTTCATTCCCAATCTCTGAAATTCTCGATTGCCATATCCCTCTTCTCACGCCTCACAAGCTTTCCAGGCGGCCTTCAAATCAAGGTACTAATCTTTCATAGCCTAAAATGTGTTGAAATTGTGCACACCCGTTTGTTAAATTCTCGCCAATTTTTGTGTGTTGAAATTGAGGTTCAGAACATTTTCAAACTGCGGAGCTCAAATAGATCTGCTAGGGTTTCTGCAACACAACAACGATGGGCAAGGGAACCGGAAGCTTTGGTAAGAGGAGGAACAAGACACGCACTCTCTGTGTGAGGTGTGTCGCCGCAGCTTCCACCTCCAGAAGAGCCGCTGCTCAGCCTGTGCTTACCCGACCGCTCGCAAGTGGACTTACAATTGGAGTGTGAAGGCCATCCGCAGAAAGACCACTGGAACTGGACGCGGTATGTACCTCCGCCACGTTCCTCGCAGATTCAAGACCAACTTCAGAGAAGGTACTCAAGCTGCACGAAGGAAGATATCGGCTGCTCCTCTTTCGTAAGGATAAAGTTTGAAGTATGCTTTGATTGTATGTATTGCTTTTTTGTCGTCTTGAAAGTACTTGAAACAAATGAAATTGTCTGAGAACAATCTTTTTTTTTTTTTTNTTTTTTTTTTTTTTACAAAAAAAAAAAAGTTGAGGTTCAGAAAGTGTAAAATCCAAACCCAAACCAAACACGCAACTTTCTGGTGTCCTCTACAATTTCCAAACCTTAGCCCTTTTTCTTTAGCTCCTGAAAAATTATGTCAGGCATGTCAATTTTCAGTTGAGTCAAACCCAAGATTTTTATTTAAGTTTTATTTGTTTTTATTTTCCTTATCTCGGTCTGAAAGAAAATTCGAGGGCCGAGCTAGAATCTTCAGTGGATTACAAAGTTTCAGTCTTGTTAGGTAGAAAAATGAAATCATAATCTTCTTAGGTTATGTAAATTGTAGGCATAAATGGATACCTACTGCATTTTGCTGCCTCAAAATCGTAGCTTATTGAAAGCTGATGGGTTATTTTTTCTGAAGTGCAGTGTTTCCTTGGTGAGCTATAAACAATACTTCTCATGATTTGTGGTTTTTCTGGATAGATATTGGTTATTTTTGTCTGGGGAATGTCATTTACAATGATGCTTGTCAAGTGAAATTTAATGATGCGATTGTTTTGTTTACCCATTGAATGGTTCTTTGTTGTTTTTCACGTTGATAGTGGGGCAACCAATGGATTCACGAGTGTTGACGTCGGAAGAACTTGAGAAGAAGAAGAAGAAGAAAAGGTGTGGACATCACTGCTTTTTCGTATGAAAAGGCTAATGTTTGTTCATATTTATAATCATAATCACAAATGTGTAAGCTTCAAGTTGGAAGCAGTGAGTTGGGATGAATTTTTAAATTAGAGAATCGTTTGTTTGTATTTGAATTTAATTAGAGCTCTGATTATCTCGCACGTTCAATGAACTTGCTGATAGGCAATGCAATTGATCTTTTCTGATTTCACTGAAGAAATGCTTAACGCATGGCCTTCTGAATGTGCTAACCTTATCTGTATCAGCAATGCAATTGATATTTTCTGATTTCACTGAAGAAATGCTCAACGCATTGCCTTCTTAATGTGCTAACCTTATCTGCATACTATATGCACGTTGTTTACTTCTACTATTATTGCTTTTAGCTTCCCCTGGTCTCAGTGGGAAGCTCATCTACAAACTCCCAATTCTTTTCATCGTTTGTCACGTTCGAACTCATTTAATTGTTTAATTGATTGAAGCATTTAGTTTTGTTGAGTTGTCGCTGGTTGTTGATGTGCTATTGATGTAGGCTAGAGAAAATGAATTGAAAAGGCTTAAGGCGGCACAAAAACAGCAATTGCGAAAATCCAGGTATTTATTAGGGACTTAAACAAGGGAAGTTGCATTATCTCATTCATGTTAACAATGCTTTGCTCATCAAAATTACTGGAAATTCAAAGTCAGAGAATGCGAGGAGAGAAATCGAGGAGAATAACTTGCAGGGTTATGTTGATCGTAAAACACCTATGGGTGAGAAGAAAAAACTCTGCCTCCTCGATGGCAATGTCGGCGTGCCCATTTGGGACGAAGAAAATATCCCGATCCTCTCCAGAAGGAAGAAAAAAATATAAGCTTCGTTCATCCCATCCATCATCTTCTAATTTGTTTTTTGGGGTGAAAGTAAAAATTACTCTGAGTACCGAAAAAGAAAAAGAAAAAGAAAGTCAACATATTTCAAAGTTAAAAGTGAGGGTGGATGCTGTAAAGGGTTATCACAAATTCTGAAACATAGTTGGATATTTTTGTTTATTAGACGAAAAAAAATCAGGTACTTCTGTGAGCATTTCACTAACCTAACACAAGTGTTTTTCTTATTTATTTGTTTCTTTATTGTCATTTCTGTGTAAAATTCAGGTCAGAAGCATGAAACTGAAGAAGTTTTTGAACGTTGATGATGATAGTGTCGAGGATCACAATAACAACAATATGAAGATTCATAGGCAGAGCTAGACGTGGCCAGGTGCCGGGTCCGGGCCCGGCCCGGCCCGGCCCGCCGGGTCCACGGTCCACATGGACGAGGCCCGGACCCGGACCGAAATAAGTGACGGTCCGGGACCGGTTCGGGCCCGGACCCGCCGGTTCGTCGACCCGCAGGTTCGTGATTGATCGGCGGTTCCGCCGGTATAGTGTTATTTCGTAGGAGTTGCGAAATTCAATTTTACTATGTTAGTTAAACAATATCTTGATTTTCATCAACGTCATCATGCAATCCGACTCCAATACACAGTCTCGAGTAATATATCTGTTCTTTTTGTTAGCAGCCTCAAGCATGTTACTTAACTGAAGCTGTCTTCCAAGTTATCATCGTTGGCGTACAAGATGTTGATATTATTATCCCACAATTCCATAAGGGTACATACCTTTTCAGTTTTCACGCATCACTTGTACTGTTGGATAATGCTATGAAACTAATGTTAAATGTTGATGACTCAACTGCAACTTTATCATTACATTATTTTGCGTTCCTCTGCTCGACGTTAACTAAGAATTCAAAAGATAACTAAATATGTATAAACGTTCTGTTGTTTGTGTCATAGCAGGCGAAATTTAGAATTGAAAGCATAATATAATGATACATAATAATAAATATTGACGTCACATCACAATCCCCTTTTGTTGTTAATGTTTTTGAGTTAATATTTGAACTTTAGAAGATGAACTCAAAGCATTAACTTCATTTAGGACAATGATATCAGGTCAATATTCTCCATTACATATTAATATATTATGCTGTCAATGCTAGATTACGCCTGCTATAACACAAACAACAGAACGCTTATACAGACTTAGTTATCTTTTGAATACGTACTCAATGTCGAGGAAAGAGATGTAAAATAATGTTATGGTAAACTTGCAGTTGAGTCATCAACATTTGACATTAGTTTTATATCATTATCCAACGGTACCAGTTATGCATGAAAAGGTATGTACCCGTATGGGACTGTGGGATAATAGTATCAACATCTTGCACAGCAAAGACGATAACTTGGACAAAATCTATTAAGTAACATGCTTGAGGATACTAACAAAAAGGACGGATATATTACTCCAAATTGTGTATTGAAGTCGGATTGCATGATGACGTTGATGAAACTCAAGATACTGTTGAATTAACATATGTATTTGAGGAAGATGTTTTATAACGGAAACAATTGCGAATCAAAGTCCCCTTATATTTGTGTCAATTAAGGTGCCTACGTACCCCTTAGATTGAGAATCAAGGTCCACGTAGTTCTTTTAAGTTTCAATATTAGGCATTCGTTTTTTAAGGTCGTGATTCATTGTGGATTTCAGTTCTAAGAATTTCGAAAAGTTTATCAATTAGAGTTGAAAGCAATAACATCAATTAAACCGTTTATGCCACGCACACATTCTCTCATTGTGGATGCTGTTTCTGACTCTCTCATACGCCTACAATACAACAATATAGAGATAGTATACACAAACAAACTTCAACAAACTTCAAGTATTGAAGAATTTGTATGTCGGCCTGTGTCGTAGAACTCTAACTGTTATATTGTAGACGTATGCGAGAGTGAGAAGCAGGATCCACAATGGGAGAATGTGGACGTGGCATACTCGATGTAATTGATGTTATTGTTTAAATTTGTGAAAGATGTTTTATAACGGAAACAATTGCTGTTGGCATCGGTTACGGGGTTCTTAAATGTTCAACAATCATCCAACACAGCAAGAAAGCTACAGTCTTTTCCACACACACTAAAACTATTGGATTATTGTATCAAATTATTTTTAGTGGTGTGTGAAAAAGACTGCAGCTTTCTTGCTATGTTGGAAGACTGTTGAGCATGTAAGAACCCTGTAAACGACGCCAACTGCGATTGTCTCCGTTATAGAACATCCTTCTACTGATGTAATTTAACTTATTTTAATTGATATTTTAACTGAAGGATTAAGGTGCCTACGTATTAGTGGTGTGTCAAAAAGTCCAAGTACTTTTTGTTAATTTACTTACAACTCAAGAAATTCCAAAAATTGACTAATAACATCAATTACGCCAATAATGCCACGCACACAATCTCCGTTGTGGATATTGCGTCGCACTCTCTAATACGTCTAGAATACAACAACGGAGATTGTGGACGGGGCATTATTGGAATAATTGATATTATTGCCTGGATTTCTGAACAATGTTTTCTAGAGGCAAATTAATTCTTGTTAAGTTAAGTTAAGATACTGCGATTGTCTTCATTATAGAACATCCTTCTATTGATCTAATTTAACTTATTTTAATTGATATTATTGCCTCAATTTCTGAACAATTTTTTCTACAGGAAAATTAATTCTTTTCACGTTTAGATATTTTCAAATTAATATAAAAAAAAAAATTGGACTTGAGCTTAATTGACATTTATTAAGTTAAAATATCATATAACTTGAACTTTTTTTTTGTTTTGGGAAAAAAATGATATTTTAACTTATAAATAGCAATTAAGTTGCCTACGTATCCCTTATATTGGGAATCAAAGTCCACGTAGTTCTTTCGATTTACTTACCTGTACACGATTGGTGGTCTCTAATAGTCATACTCGTCATCTCCTATTCCGGTACCACCACTCGTCGTACTCGTAAAATCAGATGCGTCATCGTCGTCGTTTGCTTCGTCATCTACGTACATAGCTGTTTGCATCCTTCGTTCGGCTTTTTTCCAATCCATCAGCAGCATTTGTGCTTGTAGGTTTTCGGGCGTCAGCCGCGATCGTCGTGCGTCGAGCATATAACCTCCCTCGCTGAAGGCTTGTTCGACCGCAACTGTGGATGCTGGGACGGCAAAAATCTCCTTGGCCATCAAGCAAGGAATAGGATAAATACCTTGCATTCTCGACCACCAGTCCAAGACATCGAAATTGAGTGGCGGACTTGGTTCACGAGCAATCGTAAGTATCAAATTCGACGTTAGGTGGTGATCAAGCTCATAGTATCTAGTTCCCTTTGCCCTTTCAACGCCAACATTCTTGTAGGGATTTAATGATGCCCACCACTCCTGAAAGTTCGAAGCGCCTACTTGACTACCGCCGCAAGAAGAAGACCCGCTGCTGCTGCCCCCGCCGCCACGAACGAATGTGCTGGGAGGTTCACCTTGTGCAATCGTTGTTTCCTTAAACATGTCATACAACAAATTTTTTGCTTGCTCGACGAGCAGCTGTACGTTAGGTTTTTGACTGTATGTTGGGACATCAGTCGGGATTGGGAGTTCCTACATATAATTATAATACGTGTTAAGTTGCTCTACCAAGCGAGCTTCACGTACCGAAGGATCTAACAAACATGCAACTAAATGTGTATCAGGAATGAAATAATAATATTTCAACCATTTCTTTAACATTTCCTCAACTAAATAACCATATTTATTAAAATTTAAGTTGTAAAGATCCTTGAAAGCCCACATTATGGCTATAGCTTGACCTAACACAAGCTGAGCAGTAGGATAATAAACACCAGAAAGCATGTTAGTGGCATTTTGAAATGTTTCTAAAAATTGAATAAGTGCATTACAGTTCTCCCAATCTCTTGTTGACACTCGGACATCACAGTCCTTACGGTTTGAATGGTAAAAAAAATTTTGCAATTGTGTCATAAACGGAACCGTGTCACTCAACATTTTAAATGTTGAGTTCCACCGGTTAGGAACGTCGGGTTGAAATTTTTTAGGTTTCACCCCTTGATCTTTACAAAAACGTCCCCATGCTTTCATTTCATGGGGACGTTTATGTAAATAATTAACAGCGTCCCTAATTGGTGTGACCGAATCTTTAAAAGCATGATAGCCAGCTTGTACACAGAGATTTAAGACATGACATATACAACGAATATGAAAAAATCTTCCGCCGCAAATTGGAGTGCAAATATCGGTAAGTTCACGTATAGATGCAGTATTTGCAGTAGCATTATCGAACGAAATGGAAAACACTTTTTTACCTCTTTGATATTTATCCAAAATTTTTGAAATTAAACGAGCAATATTAGAAGCAGTGTGTCGTTCATGAAATGCAACATAAGCAATTAAACGTTTTTGTAAACTCCAATTTTCATCTATCCAATGACAAGTAATTCCCAAATAGAAATTATTTTGCCAATGATCAGACCAGATATCAGCACAAATGGATACTCTATGATTTAAAGATTTAAAGGTTTCTTGCAAAATTACTTTTTTTTCCGCCACTATTTTTCGAATATCGCGAGTAAGAGTAGTACGTGGAACCCGGTGGGCAGCCGGATTCAAAGCCATTTGAGCAAAATGTTCATATAAATCACTATCACCAAAGCTAAACGGAAGAGATGAAGCGGAAACAAATTCAGCTAAATGGCGTCGATGATTTTCATGTGAGTACTGAAATAAAGTTGGCGTACCTGTACCAATCGTGGCTGATGCAGCGCTACTACTTGGGAGTTGCGTCTGTGCTCTGTCAATTCCCAATTTTGTCGGATGAACCCTCTCTAAGTGTCGTTTCAACGATCCGTACCCATCGCCTTTTTTGAAATGGTATTGCTTCTTGTCGTTCGCCGGGCAGTAGTTGCAAACAGCTAAAAAGTGATTCTCACCTCTTGTCGGATTGGCCACCTTCGTGTAATGTTGTTTGAATATGGCAGATGCCGGTCTGGCACGGGCGAAGGCAGAGGCTGGGTGGCCCGGGTCCGGGACCTCTGGGTCCGGCTGTTGCTGTTGCGTCGGTTGCTGAACCTCCGGCGGGGACTCTCCAAATATATCATCGAAATGGTCGTGATACGGCTGCTGTTGCTCTTGTTGCTCAGGCTGAATTGAGCCAAACATGCGCTCGATCGTCGCCTCATCAATGTCATCGGCGACACCGGGAATATCCACATGTATCGA